GTTTTTAGCTCACCCTCACCTTGGTTTTGTTACTCAATGAGGCCAATCTGATTGAAAACTTGCGCTCCCTCGCTTCCGGCCGAGACCGACACGTACCGGACGTTCTGCAATCGCAGACAAACAACAGCGTTCGAAAAATGCGCGCGCCGTTCGTACAGGATCGATGCGGACCACGTACGACGGCTGAGTGCCGGTGCAATACTTCTCACCTCAATCTAATGGACCACTTCTCAGTAAGCAAACTAGAATAATATCCAATAATAAGTAGCGTCGTGTCGGTTGTACGTGTAGTGTTAGCGTCCAAGTGCTAGTGTAGTGTAGTATTAGTAATAGTGTGATAAGTTGGTGTATTGCTAGTGCTAGAGAAGTCTTAGTGTAGTGATAGCATAGTGTTAGTGTAGTGTAGTGTAGCTGTATGTGTACATATGATTCTTAGTGCTAGGGTTAGTTGTAGCATAGTGTTAGTGTAGTGTAGTTGTAGTGTACCATTAGTGTAGTGCTAGCTTATGTAGTTATGTTAGGTTGTAGCTGTATGTTGTGTTATAGATGTAGTGTAGTGTAGTGTAGTGTAGTGTAGAGGAGCTTAGTGTAGTGTAGTGTAATGCAAAAATAATAATTATTATTATTATATATGGTGAGATCATGCAGGAAAAAAATTCGTGATTATATAACACAATAGGTAAAAGACCGGGTTTAAGCACAATTATACAACATCAGGCATGGTATGCATAATACAGCACCACGCTTTTCACTTCCTTTTTCAAGCAGCATTACAGGAATCGGTGGCAAAGGGTTTAAATTGCAAAGATGGGTGAACGCGGTACCTTGAGACTGCTGTAGTGGTCTTCCCTGTATGCTTCGTAGTCCTCTTCCACCTCCTCCAAGTATTCCTCTCTCACATTATCATCCAGTAGTCTGGAACACTGTTGCCATGACAATGACATTTTTATATTATAATATATAATATAATATCACATCATGTCATATCATATCATACCATATAATATCATACCATATCATATAATATCATATCATTTCATATCATATATATAAAATCATATCTTATCACGTCATTATCTAATTTTATTAATATTATCACATTATTATATATAATATACATTATGTATATGAGAATGTATCGAACGCTATTCGTCGCACGTTTCACTCACCACGACAACGCCTCGGGAGGCGTCTGCGACGTGAATTGTCGGCTGGCTGTACCGTGGTGCAATCTTCACAGCCGTGTGCACCCTGCAACAATGACGACGATGAGTAGAAGACAAAGTACGCCAGAAGAAAGAGAAAAAAAAGAGAAAAACTCAATACTAACTAACTAATTATAACTTAATTAGTAACTAAAAGGGTGGGTGTCATCTTTGCTGCAAATAGGTTAGTCTACTTCTTTCTTTTTGAAGGTTAGGAGAGGCAACGATTGGCTGGGAAAAAAACCATGCAGACATTGCTAAGGAAAAAAATCATTCCCTCGCTTTATGTAATGGGGACGTTTCATAAACTGCTATACTTTTTATGCACGTCTATATTGAAACATAAGCCAGATACAATGATAGAAATGTGACTCCTATTGCTAACAACATGAGAGCGGTGTTGTGGAGAGAAAGAGGAAAACAACAAGACCCTGGAGTGACAGGAGGTAGCGATAGAATTAACATCCATTTCGTTGAGGCAAGTGTCACTTTGGTTTAATCAAAATTTTTAGGACACAACAGCAAGTTGGAGTGGCACTAAGGGTAAAATTATCTCAAAAGAAGGGTCACTTAATTTCAACAGGACTTTGTGTGGGACAAAGAGCAATATATATATATATGTACACGACATTGAATTCATTTGATGGGCACAGATGTAAACGTGATATGACGAGAGAGGCTGCAGGGTGAGTAGGCCGCAAGGGAAGGGAGGAGAGCTCGGCAGTGAGGAATGATGGTTGAGAGCGAAAAGCGGATTGAGCCGTGGCGACAGGGAGAATGTGAGAGTGAGAGAGAGATCGAGAGGTGAGGGGGCGTAGTAGGCGTAAGGGAGAGTTGACAAGCAGAGGGAGATAGGTAGAGGGACTAGCGGATGATGAGAGAGAGGGGACGAGAGAGGAGAGTCGATAGAGGGAGACAGTGAGAGGGAATGAGGGACGATGCGGAAAAGGACAATGGGCGACCCGGCGAGGAGAGAAGTGGAGAGGGAGAGGGAGAGCGAGAAGGAGTAGGAGACAGGCAGAGGGAGAGGGAGAAGAGACGGATGAGAGAGGCGAGAGGGAGAGGTTGAGAGGACGTAGGGAAGGCGAGAGGTGAGCGACGAGGAAAGGGAAAAAGGAGAAGCGAGAATGCGACGAGGGCAGAAAGAGAAGAGGACAGGAGAATAGAGGTGAGGGCGAGGGCCGAGGCGAGGGCCTGAGGGCTGGGAGGGCGAGGGCGAGGGCGAGGCGGATGCGAGAGGGAGATGGAGCGGAGGGAGAGGCTGAGGAGCGGAGAGGCGAGAGGGAGAGGGAAGAGGGAGAGGAGACGCGCGAGAGGGAGAGGCGATGAGGGAGAGCGGAGCACGCGAGCGGAGCGGTGAGGGAGACGGAGAGGGAGACGGATAGGGAGACGGATAGGGAGACGGAGAGAGAGAGAGAGAGATTAGCTAATAACTGCCTGAACATATTTTAGTGCGTCGGATTAGATTTCATCACTTCAGAAATAATGACCTTCAACAGAAAACCAACAATCGATCGAAGAACGTAAGTTGCAACAATCAACATAAACAATAGTGCAAAACTCGCATAAATGCTCGCAGCTTTTTCTTTTTTACATAATAGGGCCATGTTTATGTTCGCCCCGATCGTGAATTATGTATTAGAAATGCATTTAATTTCTAACATATATATTCACACTGTAGTTTATAGAGCAGCATTTTACCCCAGCAACTAGCGCAGCCAGCACAATTACACATATATACCATTTAATTTGCTGTTGCCCTCAACCAAGGACGTCCGTGCACTCACCCGTAGCACATCTTTAATCTCGCGCTGATATCTATATTTGTATCTGTCATTACAGCAATTGGTAATTAACATATTGAATGTCAGTCTGGCCATACGCACTACGACAACATCCCACGAAAGCAAAACGTATGTGACAACCCTACACCAGCAGTCGTACGTCACGTAGGGGTGGGAGTGATAGCCGACCCCTCAAGCTGCTATATCCTATAGATGTAAATTGATTCCGCTACACAGCTATTGCCTGCTTACGAAGGTGACTTTGCGGACTGAGAAAATAGAACGATGGCTGAGAACGTTGACTCTCGTGCTCCATTAAAACTTCCCACTGCACAACTTTGATAACATTGGTTTTCATTTCACATCACATGACTCGGTTCTGCACCGATCACAACCCTTCGCAACAACATACCGGTAACAGTTCTAATTAATTAGACACTGTATCGCTGTAACGCGATATATACTGCCAACCGACAACTGTAAGTGCCAGTAAGTAATGAAGCCAAGATATGAAAAGCGCAACTCGTTAGTGCGATTGACAGAGCAATCCACTTAGCACGTGTAATTGCAAGAAACGGTAGGACAATAAAAAGGGGGTGGAGCAGGGAAAGAGGAAGGGGGAAGGGGTAAATGCAAAAAGGAAATAGCAGAAGAATAAGAACAAAGTAGACGGCGATCAAAAACAAGATAACGAACGGGAAGAGAAGACAATGACCGAGAAGATGATGAAGAAGAAGTTCATGATGTAGAAGAACAATAAACCACCTGGAAACTAGAGTGCACACTAACTATGAAAGCCCTCACTTTGAGGTTGTTGCCCCGCCAATGAGCAGTGGGATGCGCATCCCCAGCCTCTCCATCTCCTTAGCAACATGGATCATCTCGTCTAGGGAGGGGGTGATGAGGCCAGACAGTCCAACAATGTCTGCAGCAGGAAATAAACGACCTTGAAATGTCGCGTCGACCATATTGAAAAATTTCACCGATAAAATGCCTTACATAAGGCTTCATAATAAATTATGCTAGAACGAATGTGCTTGCATGCATATGTGCATGCAGTGTGTGTGCACTTAAGTGCCTGTGTGTATGCATTTGTATCTACCTATCTCTCTAACTACATTTAGCAAGTTTACTCGCATTGTGTTACTGACCTGCCTTCTCTTTGATGGCCGTCTGCAGAATCTTGTCACAAGGAGTCATCACACCGAGATCCATAACCCTAGAAATCCAACAAACTTTCCAACGTGACATTTACCACGTTAAATGACGATGCAGCCATTTCCACCACCATCTACCATGCATCTAGTGTTGCACGAAGGGTCGTTGTCGTAACAGGTACTACAGATATGTACCCGAGGTAGTTTTAGGTTGTTTAGAGTATTATGGTTATACTTTTTATAATGAGTAGGGTTTAGGGTTAGCGTTAAGAGTAGTGATTAGGATTAGTTAGGCGTTAGGTTAGTGTTAGGTATAGGGTTAATTCTGCTAACGTACAAGTCTACCCTTGGTGCAATATACATATATGATACTCAGGGTACATTTATCTGTATACCTGTCTACGACAACGCCCCTTAAGCTCTTGTTTGTTTAATGCAAATACACAGGTGAGGGCACAGGTTACTCACGTTACATGTGCCCGAGCAACAAATCATGCTGTACATCCAACGCGCTACCAGTTCCGCCCTTATCAATGTTACTTATGTCAGACCCGCCCAGTGAGGAGATTGGTCGCTACGAAGGCGTTAGTCATCGGCGGAGATTTCATACCTGCAGATTGTTGCATCCAGCACCCCTGGCGCGAATGTTCTTTTACCGAATCGTCGTGTACGTCGCCCTTCACCGGTTTGCCAATGCGACAGTGCCTGCATCAAAGCGCTCTCGCGAACAAGGGTGATACCCCGATCACGCCGAGAAAGAAACAAGCAGACGACTAAACACCTCTGACAACCACTCCGGCAGCCAGACAGTCACGCGAGAGACAAAAGATTTGGTCTAAACACGGCCGAAGGCAGCTCGGATTGCGCAACTGTATACTAGTACAGGTAAATTCACCAGGCAACAACAAACAAAACCGAGCAATGATGCTCGGAATTAACTCGATGGCCGAGTAGGTGCAATAGCGCTTTTTTTGCGAGAAGATTTCGATACCTTTGGTTGTCAGCGAATGATCGCTGACCAGCATTGGCATCATGTTCGTGCAACATCACACGCGCCACACGCACGCACAAACAACATAGCACACACACACCTCTCGGAAACTTCGTTTGACCTTCGTGTCGATATCCTATAAGATGCAGCAATTTAACCTGAAGTGACCTTCGTTGCCCCGACACTGTTTGCTCCCGTGACTTCCAAGGACCTCTACCAGATGAGCCGCTGACGATAGTCTTGGGCTGGCTCACTGTGAGCTCCAGCGCACTTCCATTACCCTCTCTCTGCGCTAAACTGACACGTCTTTGGGCCGAACCGCCGCCGATCGGAGACATCGCGCAACCTCCCCCTTCCCTTCGCGTTCCCTCGTTCCTCACGGCACCTGGTCGACGTCCCGTCAGTCGTCAGTTGGTGTACCACAGCGTCGCCTCGTCTCCGCGTGACTCGCCGTTGAAGGCAGCGCCGCCTCGGCCGGCGGCTGCGCGGCGGCCTCGGCCTCATGAACGGCGATGAGATGGCCGACAGCCTTCTTCATGACGGCGCGACTTGATACCTGGGCAGGAATCTTGCCGAGGCCAAATGAGAGTCTGCGGCGACGCTCATACCCTGCAGAGGTAACGCGACACGGATTTAATGCAGGAGTACGTTACAGACGTTGCAATGCTATGTACATGTTATATTATATATAATATTATATATGCTTATATATATGATAACAAGGGTGACTTACGATCGTGCTGCGCGGTACGTGTATGTACGTCCACGATCGTGTCAAAGCCCACTGTTATGTATATGTGTAAATAATATAACTACCGCGACACTCAATGCCTGTCCGGTCAGCCAACGTGTCACGGATCGTATACAGGCGTGCTATAGACGTTTGTGTACGTGCTGCGCTGCGCTGCCACACGACAACATCACAGGCTTTAAGGACACGCCTTTCCGTCTTCGTGTCATGCATTAGAGATAGGTGGGTGAAGAGAAGAGAGAGGAGACGGGGATGGAAGGCGGGATAGTCGGAGTAGAGAATGCACCGAGAGGGAAAGTTAGAGAGAGAAATGGTGGGAAGAGTACGAAGGGAGCAAGAGGCTCGGGGAGGAGAGATGCAGTGCAGGAAGGTGAGAGAAAGAAAGAAGGAAAGAGAGAAAGAATGAAGGAAGCGACCAAGAGACATTCCCCATAAGTTGAATCATTTTCTGACATAAGCGAACAAAGTAGGAACCGAATTCTGATTCAGTCAAATCCATATCAAGACTTGACGAGCGAGTACATGTTGCATACACTGCATAACATTTATGAGGGTGTCCCTCGATTGTAGACAGGGCTGGGGTATTGAAGTGTCAGCGAGCATTCTCCATATCCTCATGACTGACTGTCAATTCCTGCAAATGCAGTCTTACCAGCAGCAGTAGGCCACAGGGGACTGTATGAGGGTGGCTAACGGTCGGTAGCCGTGGACGGCTGAGGTGATAACGACGGAGGCAGGGAAAAGGACGCACGGTGTGAGGAGGGACAGTAAGGAGGACGGCAGTTAGGGGAGGAGACGTAAGGGAAAGACGGTGCAGTGGCGGAGGAGACGTGAGCGAAGGGGCAGTTATTTTGTAAATAGACGTGAGGCAGTGGGAAGGGGGAGGAGGCAATGAGTGAGCAAAGGAGACAGTGAGGAAGAAGAGTGGGCGGGAGGAGAGGTGGGAGGAGGCAGTTAGGGGGGAAGACAGTGCAGGGAGGAGCACGGTGGAAGAGGACAGTAAGGGAGGAGGGCAGATTAGGGGAGGAGCAGTAAGGGAAGGAGACGGTGGGCGAGGAGACCTGAGAAGGAGCAGTTAGGGGAGGAAGGACATGTGAGGTAATAGACAGTGAGCAGTGAGGGGAGGAAATGCGTGAGAGAAGGAGACAGTGTAGGGAAAGAGGTAGCGGAGAGGAAGTGGGGGAGGAAGCAGTATAGGGGAGAGACGTGGGGAGGAGACGGTGGGGGAGGAGACGTGAGGAAAGAGACGGTGGGGAGCAGTTGAGGGAAGGAGTGCTTAAAGAGAGGGACATGAGCAGGAAATTGTCGGTGAGCGAAGAGACACGTGAGGGACCAGACCGTGTTGACGACGCAGTGGGAGGAGACAGTGAGGATAGGGGACAGTGAACGGGAAGGGGCGCAAGCGGGGAGGACAACAAGGGGAAGAAGCGCGAGGGGCAACAAGGAGAGAGGGAGGCATGGCAACAAGGAGAGAAGGGAGGGGGCACAAGGGAGAAGGGGCAGGTAAGGCAAAAGGGGAGAAGTGGAATGTAGGCAACAAGGGGAGAAGTGGAGGAGGCAAAGGGCAGGGTAGGAAGGCCTCACCTTGATGAGGTGAGTATGCTATGTCGATATCCGCAGCGGCTCTCCCCAGCTTTCTACGGCGCTCGTTCTTTGCGCGCCGACGATCCTCAGGTACTGAAGCAGGGACAAAGGCCGTAGGATGAACCGCTGCAGTCCAAGACAAAGACGTTGCAGCAGAGACAGCAAATCCCGTTAATTTAATCCCGGTAACTGGCAGATAATTCCCCCCCCCTTAGATGCCAATTAACGCAAGCACACCAAACACTCCACATTGCATGCATCGCACGCACACGCCACGCAACCAGCGCAACGCAACACGTCACGCACACACAAACACATACACACTGCACACAACTTTTGGCTCGATAGGATCTATGTCTCCCTGCGGTCTGCCGGGAACGTTACCTGGGTACGGTCGGATATACCAGATTGTTCCTTAAGTTATCTAATATGCCGGACCATTACTCTGCATACTCACTTAACGAGTCTAGGAGTCGCTACGCTACTCTTAACTCTACATATCAGAATAGTTCAGAGTACGTTTCCGGCTATACGGAACGTCCAGGGTACGATTCGCAGTACCCAGGCGAGCATAGACTTATCTCACAACTTATGCAACAACACACACACGCCGAACACATCACACACACGCACGCGCGAACGCACACACACTCACAACATGCACGCACGCGCCACATCACACACAATTGCCACGCACGCACATCTATCACACATGCACGCACGCACCACAATCACAACCTACGCCGCACACAATCACACACGACACGCAGCAGCAATCACACACACACACGCACGCGCCACAACATCATCACACACACGCATTACGCACGCAACACATCACACATGCCGCACGCAAGCTGCACATGCACATGCATCGCACGCGACCACCGTCACTGTGACGCTTAGAGCAGCAGTCTCTTCGGTGCGTCAGCGTCGCGGTTCCACAGCAGCGGTCCGCACAGGATGAGCGAGCAGCTCCGGGCCGCGATGATCCGTGTACAGCGGCAGTGTTCCCGCGCGTCTCACGATGCCATGTCCATGCCGGCCTGACGACGACGACGATGAGGCACGATTGAGCGCTCGCGGATCGCTCGTCCGCATCTACGAGCGATCACGATCGATGCGATCGATTGATAATCACGAGATCGAGCGCATGCCGCTCATGCAAGCATTTACTCAATAAATCAATCAGTCAGTCGAGTCATTTCAGTCAGTCAGGTCCGTCTGACTGCTCGAATCCGTCTGTGCTGTCCGTTCACCATCATCCATTCATCCAGCAATCATCATCTATCAACTCCTTTAATCAATGACTGACGAGATTCAATCAAGCATATGGTCAAGCAATCGCTGCCACAATCCATCGATTACTCATCACATTCAAAACAGAATTTCACCTGCGACTGGGCTGCAAACACCTATAGTTACATTGATGGCGTGGCTAGAGAAAACGCTAGTGCATGGCCTTCCCGCACTACTCTACCCGCGGAAACGAAGACGAGAAGTTGCGAGACGCCTCCGCTGACACGACATCGGAAGAGTTCGGCCTGTGCGAAGATAATGACGATCACATGGCCGCATTGTTCTAGACCTCAAGTTAGTTATGAAACATGTTATATAGTTTCTTGACAAACTGTTCATGATCTATGACTTGGCATTGTTTTCCATTTTTCTAATATGTGGCCCATCTTGGATTGAGACATATACAGTGTGTCTTTGATAATTTTTTTTCTATGCATATGACCCCTATGACATTTGGACTTTCAATCGTGATGCCAAAGCATTGGGGGACCTTTGCATACGAATTTGAAGTCAAATGTCACTTAACATGTCTTACTAATTAAGCAAGGCAGGTGTTTGCAGGCATGGAGATGTAAAGACAGGCTCGCACAGACACGCACGCACTCGCACACCAGCGCACACAACACCACACACCACACAGACAACATAACCACACACCGCATACACACAGATGCATACATACACATGCGCACGCGCACGCACACACACACACAGACTGTAAGCTGCGGCGCGACCCTACCTTGATGGTGCGCACCGCCTCGATAAACTCGATGCCGTACGAGTCGTGCTCGGCCATGCCCGTCGCGATCGTTAGGATGTTCGGGTCAAAGATGATGTCAGTGGGGTCATATCCAGCGACCTCGGTGAGCAGCCGGTAGGAGCGAGTGCAGATCTCTACCTTCCTCTTCGCATCTGCTGCCTGCAGTAAGTTAACCCACTCATCAACTGACTGCTAACTAGCAACGAGCTTATTAACGTGTTATTAATGATGTCCAGAGTACATAATCACAAATTGCGATTATTTACTCCTGACGATGTATATACTGTTACTGTTAAATACTTAATAGACCATGTACTTTATACTGTGGCTCTCCGTCCCCCCAGCCCTCCCTCTCCCCTTCCCACCCTCTCCACCGGTCTTCTCCTCCCTTTCCCTGGCCCTCCCTGCCTCTCCACATCCCACCCTCTCCCTGGATCTCCCCCTCCCCGACCCTTCCCCTCTCCTGGTTCTCCCTCTCCCTGACTTTCCTTCCCTTGTCCTCCGCTCCCTTCCCCGGCACTAACCCTCCCTTCCCCCGGCCCACCCTCTCTACAGCTTTCCCTCCCCACGCCTCTCCTCCTCCCGGATTCTCCTCACCCGGCCCTGTATTACCCTTCCTTCCCCCGGCCCTCCCTTACCTCGACCCACCACCTCCCTTCCGATTCCTTAACCCGCCCTCCCTCCCACTGGCCCACCCCTTCCTTCCCCTTTCTTCCCCCAGCCCCCCTCCCTTGCCCCCGGCCCACCCTCCTCTCCCCCCGGCTCCTCCCTCACCTGTCCGTCCTCGTCAAACGCCATGACGACGATGGCGGCCCCGTGGCGTCGCACGACGGCTGCCTTTGCGAGGAAGTCTGCCTCACCCTCCTTCAGGCTGATGCTGTTCACGATGCTCTTGCCCTGACAGCACTTGAGTCCCGCCTCGACGATCGCAAAGTTCGACGAGTCGATGCACAGCGGCACCTGGTGGCAGGGCGAGAGCGGAGAGAATCGAGGAGATATGTTTCAGCAGATTCGTTCGTCGCACGCGCATGCGCACATGCATGCACGCACACTTTCATGCACATGTATGCACACGTACACCATACACGCACGCACCCACCCACGCACAGAAGCACACACACACACACACGAACGCGCACGCACGCACGCACGCGCACGCACGCACACACACTTACACGCACATCTACGTTACCTTCGAGATGTCTGGCTCGCTGGCTATCAGGTTGAGGAAGTGTGTCATCGTTGCCTTGCCATCCAGCATCCCCTCATCCATGTTGATGTCTAACACCTGCGCACCAGCCTCCACCTGATCCTTAGCAATGCTCAGTGCTGTCTGCATGAGTAACCGAGGCAACGAATGAAACCGCAGCGGCATCAGGACCGCACACGTTGAAGTGATTACGTCACCGTTAATAGTAAATGTTAAAAAATTATGTCCACTTTTTCACAAAATGTAAGTAATTCTGTTCACTTTTTATGGTCAAATTGCTGCCTTATACTTCCTATTTTGCTATTCCATTCGATTTGAACAAATACTCAGGACTCATACATAGCTCATAGCAAGCATTTAATGTCGTGATACATTTCGTCCTGTTAGTACTTACTTTTTATGTAAAAAAATGCAATAAAGGTTTTACAAATATACACCATAGAAAATTTGTGACGTAGTAAATCTCAACTTTGAAGTCATAAATTTGTTCTGGGCATTTAACGTGTATCATGGGGGCACTCCTGCACGTTACCATAGTTTTTTATTGCATCCTTCTGATAAAGCCCATTCAAGCAGAGAACATCAAAAACACACTGATCTCGTCTTATTAGAACAACTCCTCACCTATGACTCATGCGTTAGCTTTGCTTACACGAGACAAAAATGAAAGTAGAGACACGCGAGTGTGACTAACCCTGCTCTCTCCACCAATCTATCTTGGGAGGAAATGGTGAGAGAAGGAGACAGTGAGGGAAAGAGAAGGTGGGGGAGGAGAAGGTGGGGAGGAGGCAGTTAGGGGAGGAGACAGTGAGGGGAGGAGACGGTGGGGGAGGAGACAGTGAGGGAAAGAGACGGTGGGGGAGGAGACAGTGAGGGAAGGAGATGGCAAAGAGAGGAGACAGTGAGGACAGGAAATGGTGAGCGAAGGAGACAGTGAGGGGAGGTGACGACGAGGGGAGGAGACAGTGAGGATAGGAGGCAGTGAGGGAAGGAGGCAGCAAGGGGAGGAGACAACAAGGGGAGAAGGGGAGGGGCAACAAGGAGAGAAGGGGAGGAGGCAACAAGGGGAGAAGGGGAGGGGGCAACAAGGGGAGAAGGGGAGTAGGCAACAAGGGGAGAAGTGGAGTAGGCAACAAGGGGAGAAGTGGAGGAGGCAACAAGGGCAGGAGGTAGGAAGCCCTCACCTTGATGAGTGAGTATGCTAGTCGATCCGGCAGCGGCTCCTCTCTCCAGCTTTCTACGGCAGCTTCTTTCTTTCCGCCCGACGATCTCAGCGTCTGAAGCAGGACAAAAGCCGAGGAGTGAACACCGCTGCAGGTCCAAGACAAAAGACGTTGCAGCAAGAGACAAGCAAACTCCCGTTAAATTTCATCCCCTGTAACTGGCAGATAATTCCCCCCCCCCTTAGATGCCCAATAACGCAAGCACACACACAAACACGCACACATGCATGCACGCACGCACACGCACACGCACGCGCACGCACACGCACACGCACACACACACACACATACACACTGCACACACACTTATGCTGATAGGGTCTATGTCTCCCTGGGTACTGCTGGAACGTACCCTGGGTACGGTCCGGTATACCAGATTGTACCCTAGTACTATCTAATATGCCGGACCATACCTCGCCTACTCCACTAACGAGTCTAGGGAGTCGCCTACGCCTACTCCCTAACCCTAACCATATCAGATAGTTACCAGAGTACGTTCCGGTATACCGGACCGTACCCAGGGTACGTTCCGGTGGCAGTACCCTGGGGGACATAGCCCCTATGAGCAACAGTATACATAAGAAATTCATAAACGTTCACAAAGCCAGGCAGTTTAGA